GCGGGCGAGGGGGCCTCAGTGTCTGCTGTGAGTTAGGGGCTGGGGGGTCAGAGCCTGTGTGAGGACTCCAAGCAGGGGGGTTGGAAGGAGGTGAGTGATGGCAGAGGAGAGCTGTGTCCTCAGACCTCAGCTCCAGGGGTCCCTCGGGCAGGGGAAAGGGCTCAGAGCCTCCCTGAAGCCTGTCGGGCCCCCCAGGCACACAGCCAACTCCCGCCCTGGGCTTTCCGGGGGCGGAAAGCAAAAGAGGAAAAGCCTTCCCTGTTCCCGGACTCAGGCTGCCTGTCCTGGGCCTCTCCCTGTCCCAGGCAAGGCTGGGGCATGTCCTCCCCCCTAGCACCCTAAAAGGCTGCCACTTCCCCCGGTCCATGCCCAGCCTGCCTCCCTGGTTCTCCCAGATTGTCCAGAAATTGACTTGCAACCCAAACTGGGAGCAGACTGGGAAACAATCTGTGGTCTCTTAACAGCGCAGAGAGGGTGAGGTGCTGGGTGCCTGACAGGGGACACCAGGGTCTTGCCCTTGGGACATCTTCTGGGAGAGAACTGGAATGCTGGAGCCCAGCACTAGGGGATGCCTGGGGAGCAGTGGGTTCCCTGCACCGGGGATAGGGGTACACAAGGGCACTGGAGTCCCACTTAGGGAAGGCACAGTGGTCCTGCCCCAAGGACACTAGGGCTTCAGACTTGGGACACTTTACTGGGGGACGCTGAGGTTCCCATCCTGCAGGTATAGCAGGATCCCTGGGGATCCCGGCCCCAGATGGATGGGTCAGGAGAGGACACACAGCCCTGTGACCCCAGCCTGGGGGGGACTGAGAGGGCACTAGGATTCCAGACTGGGGGCACTTGGGCGAGCACTGCAGCGGAGCAGTGGGAATCCAGTCAGGAAGCTCAGGAGAGGGCACTGGGAGGACATTGAGAAGACTGGAGACCCAGACTGAGGGCGCCCGGGGGCAGCAAAGGAGCTCCAGGCGTGGGGGGCTCCGGACGCGGGGTCCTCGGGAGGACCCGGGGCCTGGACCGGTGGTACCAGGCAGGGCTGGTGAGTCTCAGGGGTCTCCGGGCCGCGGCTGGGAGAAGGAAACGGGGACGCGCCGGGGGGCAGGGGAACTCACCGAGGCGCAGGAAGAGGACGACGCTGAACATGGAGAGCAGCGTGGGCACCACGACGCCCAGGAAGGTGGGCAGCTTGCGGG